TTATTTGATTTCTAAAAAGCAATGCCCTGGCCGATTTCAGTGGAAAACAGACGAACAAAAGCTACAATATCTGGCCCAAGAAGATATTCAAGCCAGCTTCTGCTGCATACTTAATATTAAATATGGGTAAAGAAGTATTGTGGCAACTGTTCAGCTAAATTTCCTGATTTTTCTTATGCAAAATCTGAGTCATCATATAAAGTTATTTATTATTATTATTATTATTATTATTACTACTACTACTACTACAGTGCCTCGATTTCTCAATTGGATCAAGGCACCATTGTGCTAGCGACTATGCAAGTTCCTGGTAAGTAACAATCCATGCCCCAAAGAGATCAATGAACTGTAATTCTCCATTAAAGCACAGCTTTTCTCTGACTAGCAATACATGCACTGGCAAGTTACAGGAAAGAAAAAGACTCCTAAAAAAGTTTGACAGGCAAAGTAAGGAAATGATTATTTAAATGGAGCGAATGCTGCGCAATACTACTGTAAATATTCTTTTGAAGTAAGGGCAGCCATACAACAAAATAATTTGAAGTTGAGGGGCTTTAATCATGCCATTGGGGATGCAGAACTAACTAGCAGAAGGGTATTCCTATTAGTGTCTCTAACCGTAATTGTTATATTAATTGGCTGAAATAAACTATAGTGCCCTCAGGCCTGTGATAAAACTGTGTGAGAGTGGAGATTCTTTAGAAAGGAGAACTGTAATATAAAACTCGCCTTCTGAATTAAAAACAATCATATAGTTATTCATTTTCATCACAGGGAAAACAGATGAAACAGATTCATGCAATTTCTCCTCCGTACTAAAGGTTCCTGATATGGCAGAACTTTCTAATCTCATTGAAAGTTCATGGAAAGATAACAAGTTTAGATATGTTCCTGCTCCTAGCACTTTTGACAAAGATTAGTGTAGAAGGATTTTTAAATGAGTCCATAACACATTATTTATAAGGTCCACACCATTTTGCTACTCCTTGTTGCCTACAGAAAATTCAGGTAATCTTTGTCATCTCTTGAAGCAGAGCGTGTGTGGAATGACTCTGCCTTTGTTTGGATTATGCATTTCTTAAAGAGCCAGTAGATTTTTTTGGTTACCCTTATGTCCAACCGACTTGCCTTCCTCATTTCTCCCTTCTTTACAACAGGGGGATTTGTTTGGAAGACATTGAAATTAAACACGTGTGGTGGGTGTGGAGCTCAGGCTAAGGGACTATTTAACCTCAATGCAGACATTCATGCTCAGGAGCCAGCCCACGCTCTGGGACTCTCTCAGGGCCCTACTGCTCAAGTGGCAGTCCAAGCCCAAATGTCTCCATAGCAATTAAACAGCCCTTAGCCCAAGCCCTGCAAACCCACGTCAGCTGTGTTCTCCTAAACAGTCATACGAGCTAAAGGCAGGGGAAGGAGAAATATTATTTTTAAAACAAAAGCATTCTAGTTAAATGATAAATATTTAGAATTATTTTTACAATCATATTATTTTCCCTTTGTAAATTCCAACACTATCATTTCAACACTATCATTTCACATTCATATTACAATAATTCCAAGAAGCCCAAATCAGGACTAGGCAGTGCATTTATCAAGAGAAAGCTCCTGTCCTATGGAACATACAATATAGGGAGACAAGGAATATACAGAAGATGTGAGAAAGGTATGCACAAGAGAGAAATAAATAAATTTTCTAGTGAGATTTTAAGAAATGTGTGCCTAAAGTTAGGCTCCTGAATCTTTTAACCTAGACTTTTGTCTAAATCTATAGCTCCCCCCCACAAACAATATGTACTATTTATTATTAATTATTATTATTACAAAAGAAGACTGATTTATCAGTAATTTCCATTCAGCTATGGCATTGTTACTGAATTCATTTTTCACAGGCCACTGTAGCTCTCTGGTAAAATAACAGACATTCTGTAAAGGAGAACAGAAGGCCTCTGATGTTCATCTAAGGTGAAATTCACCAGGATGTACATGGCCAATACAAGGTCTTTTTCATCATCTAAGCCATGTTTTACGGCTGCAAATGTAAAGTGCACACATGAGGTGCACAATTACCACACAACAAAGATTATGTCTCTACTAATCCAACCCAAACAGCTATGGAAGACCTCACAATATCTGTGCATGGAGTTTGTTCCCTTACTTGAGTCTCTAAGGGTTCTGCCTAGGTAAGTCATGCAGGTTTTGTGCTGGTAGCAGGCATTTCAACTGTATTAATCAATGTAGATCATTTATATTGAAAACATTTGGGACAGCTTACCAGTCCATCTATGTGCATATATTATGTGCATGAGATTAATATTTAACATTTCATACTCAATAAAGTTTCAGAATTGTAATGTTTTTTCCATTTCTATTCACATAATGAACCTTTACTAAAACTTAACAGAATATATGAACAACTCTATTTAACACCAGCTTAGTTTTAATATTAGGAGGAAAAGATTAGAAGACACTGCATTTATGAAGGTTGCATTCTTTAAATCTATAGAGAGGTTTGAGATGACAGACCTACCTGTTGTAGTTAAAAGCTTTTACTGTAGGAGATTGTAGCCACACAAAATTCCCTGCAGTTCAAACCCTCCTGAAGCACTTCAATATTATCTGCTATTTTCTTGTCTGGTATCTTCACCTCCCAATGTTTAATAGTAGTGTTTTAAGTATCTGAAAAAAGGAGAAAGTAATTTTACAAAGCAGGGTAGTTTTAGCAATGTCACCTTGCTCCTGATTGTGCTTACTGTGTATTAAAGGGAGAAGAAACAAATTGTGCTATGGCAGTCAACAAGCTTGAAACGTGGCATTTGTTGAAGCTCAAGAATGGGTGCTTGTCAGAGTGAAAATAAAGAAACATGGTCCTTTAAGGAATTTGGACACCCAGATTTGAACAAGAGATGGTTTAGTTAACCTCCACCTATGCTTTGGATTTCAAAAACAAGCAGGAGTTGATACTAAAAACTCAACATTTGCCAGCTGTTAGCAAGTGGTTGTGCCCCAAATTACACAACTCACCTTGTTCTAGGATGTTCTTCACACATTCTTATGTCTAGCCTTCTTCTATGAGCATCTTTCTGCTTTGACTTCACCATCCTCTGCTTCTCTCTCACCTCTCCTCCTCTGAATCCCTCCTTAAAATGCAAACCACTTCTCCTTCCTTCAAACCTTCTTTTTTCCTCCCCTATGTGAGAGGCAATTAAATAATAGACCAAAATTCCCAGACCTTTGGATGTTTAAACTGGTAAAACACTTAAGTCTTTGGAACTATGACAGTTCACATCACCTGAGGATCTGTCCCAAAGAGTTCCTCTAACTAAAAAAAGTTTATACTGTACGTCAGTGAAAATACCTCCAGTGAAGATACCAGTGAAGATACCTCCTTCTTTTCTTCCCGTCTGGACTGAAGGAAGTTCTAGGGTATTGCATCTACTTTCTCCTCCTCATTCTCCACTTACATTTCTGTGTTTAGTATTTTCTGTAGTGGATTTTCACTTCATCCACTCTATCTTCCACTATTCAACCCTATTTTTCATGTTTTTTCCCCTCTATATGTCTTTTGTTACAGTTTTTCCTAAGTGGAATGCAAACACATTTTTGAGTCCATAACCAAGTGGCTTAAAATTAGGTGGAACAAGCTATCCATCCCAGCATGGTGACTTGAGAGAAATTCTTCATTGGACTTTTTTATATAGGTACTTTGGGAAATTATTTACTCTGAATCTTAGCCAACTAGAGTATTTTAAACAAATAATTTAAAATGTTTTAAATGTAGAGGACTTTGGCCTATGCAAAATCATAGTAGATAATATGGGCACATCTACACAGCAGGATTAAACTCCAAATAAGCTATGCTACTTGAGTTACACTAATTGCATAGCTTAAGTCGAAATAGCTTATTTCAGCTATTGGCACTGTGTACATAGCAGTTATTTCAAAATAGAGCACTCTTCCCCCGACTTCCCTTACTCCTCATACAAAGAGATTTACAGAAGTCGACATAAGAAGCCCGTTATTTCAAATTTAGTTTAAAGTAACGGACTTGCTGTGGAGACACGCACTACTTTATTCCAGAATAATTAACGTTATTCTAAAATAATGCTGCTGTGGCTAATAATAATAGCCTCAGACACTATTTGCGTAAATAATTACAACACTCATATTTTGGAAATATAACATAAAATGTATTGCAGTTATATCATATATATATGTGTTTATGTTTGCGCTGACTTGACTTAATTTCAAGTCACTGAATACCTTTCATGCACCAAAAGTATTGCCTATTAACTTCACTACAAATTAATTATTTGTGCTGTTTTCATACCCTATCATTTCCACAACTTACTGTCCCTAAAATCAATAATTCCATGAACAAAATCCCCATCAGTGTGGCATAAAATTTTCTTGTAAGCTTCAGCTTTCAGGAGACCTAGTATTTGCAAAAATAATAGGAAAATAGAGTTGGTGCAAGGAAATGCATTAGTCCTAAGAAAAGGATTTGATAGATTCATTGGGATTCAGATATGTATTCATGTTCCTACCTCTCACACTGTTTGTGCATTTTTTATTTTTATTTTGTTTTGTTGTTGTTGTTGTTGTTTTAATGGTTATGGTTTGGTTTTGTTATTGTTGTACTGGTAGTTTTGGGTTTTTGTTGGTTTTTTTAAGAAATTAAGGAATATTTTGGAAATGTGATATGCCTGTGTGGCATAAATATCTAATCCTAGCAAATGATGAATACCAAATACCCAAAACAAGAGTTGCAGTGAATAATTTGAGAACATAATCATTCATTCCACAATTTCAAATAATTAACTAATGAATAACAATGACTGTTTATTTGCTGATGGATAATTCATTAGCAGAGAAAGGGGATGCATTAACTAAATACACTGATATAAATAGTTTGCAAGATTCTGCTTATGTCACACGCACATCTCTAGTTGATGCATTGTGAGCTAATGAGCACTCTGTAGGCAGAGGCATTCAGACCTCTTTGGCTAGTGGGCGGATCATAGTGCTTGGCTGAGGAGGAGGTGGTGGTGGTTTGTTAAATCTATTGCTTCAGGTATGAACCAATGAGACTTTAAAGCTCTACTAGGCTTTAGCCTGAAATAGTTGTTTATTGAATAGATTTTTTTAAACCCAGCTGAAGCATCTGATTTTTCAGTCTGTCTAGCTAAGTGCTTCTCGTTGCATTATACTTGAACACAACAGCACCTTTTGTTAACACTGCCCATGCCCAGCACTTTCTGTTAGCAGATCCTGCTTTCAGTTACTTATACATTTATCAGACTTGAACGGTTCAGACTGAAACTTTCCATGCTGGGCGTGTGCCTCTGGCTCAGATTTTTTGGGATCATTTCAGATAAATTGATTTAATCCTAATCAAACACTGAAACTTGTTCATGTACTTAAATGCTTTATTGGAACAGGCTTCTGAGAGTGAAACTCTACCATGCTGGCAATAGTTATCACTTGTGGTACTATCATTGATCCAGGAGAGACTATATGTTGATTTTAAATGTGCTAATCCGTCGTATAATACACTGTATTCACATCATAGACATTGTTTAGTCTATGTTTAAATATGGAAAGAAAAGAAATGCTTCACATATTATATACTGAAATGATGAATGTGACATGGAAGGTATTTTATCAAGCACAGATACCAGAGAAAGAAGATAGAACTTCGCTACAAAGAGGGGAGAGAAAAACTATTAACACAAAAGGGAATTAAGAGAATAAATGTTTGTACAGTGCTTTAATCATCAAAGTTATTATGTTCTATAAATACTAAAGATTACTATTTTCATATAAATAAAAGGAAAGATTGCCAGGGATTGGTGCCACTGAAACCATGCTTGAAATAAACAAAATAACATTTTAAAAGCCTTGGCAATCCTCTGAGGCAAAAAGACAGTGCAGAACAGAAGACGCTCAATTGGACAAGTGCACTTTGAAAGTTCCTCAGAGAGGGTTTTTCCCCCTTTGAGAGTCAATTTTGCAATGTTGTCATAGCTTTGTTGGACCCAGGATAGGAGAGAGACAAAGTCAATGAGATAATATATTTTATTGGACTAACTTCTGTTGGTGAGAGAGACATGCTTTCAATTTACAAAGAACTCAGAAGCAGAGCTCAAAAGCTTGTCTCTCTCACCAGCCCAATATTTGGTCCATTAAAAGCTCTTACCTCCCCCACTTTGTCTTTCTAATCTTAAGGGGTTACATTTTTAATGTATTGTACTTGCAGACCTGCTTTGCTCGTCTAGGATTTGAGAATCAATGTCCACTGTAGTAAATGAGAGTATTTACTTGGGCTGCAGTAAGTATTAGATAAAGTCCCCGGGCTCAGATTCAGAACAGTACAGGAAGGTACCTGTTCACAAAAGCAGCCCCTTTGAAATTAGTGGAACTGGTATGGTCAAAAGGGCCTATCATTTGGATTAGATTGCAGCATCAGAGTCCTAAAACTGTATTTTATAAAAAAAAAACCTCCCATTTGATTAATATTTTTTACCAGTGGCAATAATATTATGAAAGCATATACTAGCATCCTATTTTGAGGAAGATAGTAGGATCAGTGGAACGATCAGGCAATTAATCAAAATAAAATATAGAATGACTCTCCAAATAGCTACTGACAAATTTAAATCTGTTCAAGAGACTCCTCTGTTTCTAGTGAGAATTCATTTATGACCCACTGGTAAGCCTTCCTTTTTCATCTGATGCAGCTTGTTTGAGGTACAGAAAATTGTGTCACCCAGAAACATTATAATCAGGCCAGGCTGATAAATAACTGTAGAAAAACTAATGTTTGTGATAGACCACATACATCTCTCAAGTAAAAGATGTTGACTCTGCAGCCTATGTCATTGATATATTTTATCTTACATCCTCCCCACCCCCCAAGTGTGAGTAATACACCACAGTATAGTAAACCTCATTAGAGGCACTCATGCTTTGTTAATGGACAGAGGTAGTGAAGAGAGAAACAGGATTTGTAAGAGTGGAAAATATGCATATTGCCAATATCTAATATGAAGGAAGGAGGGAATGCAAAAAGTTGCCTCCTAAAGCTACTAAATACAGTTGTTGATATATGTTATAAAGTATGTATACTAAAGATGCACCCTACAATGCTTTAAAATCAGGGAGAACGAGAACTGGTAATATGTTGCTAAATCCTGTCAGGGAGCTCAATTTACTCAGAAGCACACTGATAATCTGACAACTCCATTAAAAAAACCCTATATTTATTAATTATAATTATTGTTTAGATTTGCATAAATTTGAGATAAAATCTACAGACAAGTGATTATGACAACAAATAATTAATCACAAATATTACTTTGAACTTGCTATTTTTTCCTCCCAATATATTCACTATTTTTATGATCACACCTGAAATTATTTCCTTATTTCCAGCCCCAGTCCTGCAGTTACACGATACACTGATTTAAGAAACTTTTCCCTGACTAAGGGTATGTCTACTCAGTAAAAGCTGTGCATTCGAGCATACTTAAACTAATCTGAATCCAGCTAGTATGGGATGCAGAGTGGTTTTATGAGCTGAGCATATAGCCACGGTCTCTGCTGGTCTTGTACTGCTTGCACTGTTATTTACATTTGTTCTTGCTGGATTTCAGGTATCATGGGTAGGTTGGACTGTACATAGCTTTTGCTGTCTAGATATCCCTCAGAAATACAGCAATAGACTTAAGGGTCAATTCCTGAACAAATTAAATTGTGAGTATACTGCTAACTAAAGTGATTATTCCCCCATCAGATACAACTGATCACATTTGGGGTTTTGGTTGCTTTGGTTTGTTGAAAAAAAAAGTATTCAGTAATATGTAATTTGCAGGATTGAGCTGTTAGTCTGCAAAGTATGATGCATATTTACATCACTCTATACATGAAAAAAAAATCCTGTCAATCTGAAAAAAATATTTAAAATGTGTTTGGTTTAGCCTCTGAACTGAAACTGGTTATTTGCATCTGTCTAATCGGTTGCTTTACTGCAATTAAATTCCTCCATAACCATCCCATAAATCCTTTCTTCATCAATATCCTTTTCTTTTCCTTACCATTTAAAAACAAAGTCTGTCTTTTTTCATTTAAACAAGAACCATAGTAATATGTATATGTAAAATGTGAGTTTCCCTGAGTCTATACTAAATTAAATATTGACTTACCAAGCACTATGTCATTTATTATTTACCATACTCAATCTGTGGGATTTATTAAAAAATTGATAAGAAAGGCTACTGGTAAAATCCCTACAGGTGTTGAAGTGAGATCCCAGGTCAAGCCAATTATGAAATCAACAAGCCTATAGTTTTAGTGATAAAATGACAGAATTTGATTTCAGCAGCTGTTGTTATTTTAGGACACTTTAAGATACTCCCTTTAAAGGAATAATGCTCCACACTTTATATATTCATAAAGATTGCTTTTTTTTGTTATTGTTGTTATTTGCCTTTAGTTCTCTTCTGCCCTTTCCTAATTGTTGACTCCTTATTTTAATGAAATGAAAAAATGCTGAACACAGGGATTCTCCCTCCTTCCTTTCTACTTGTTTTGTTTTGTTTTGGAATATGAATGAAGATATTAGATAAAGCACCCATACTATCCTGTGAAGATACCCATTTTCAACATCAGGAATGTTTTCCACTGTGTGTCTCAGTCCTGTTGTGAAAGGTATACCACCAAAAATGAGAGGACAGTTCCATTATGTAGTCTGCCCTTATCCTCTGAGTTGAGTCTTGCAGCAAATGTTTCAGTCCTGCTGATGGCTGTGATGTGCACCCTGAAGTCATATGAATGATCCTGCAAACTGTTATGCCAGTCAGAAACTTTTACTGAGATGAGCAATTGCACTGAACTAGTGTCTAAAGTAACAGAGTACCACAAATGTTTGCATGAAGTGACTTCTGTTAAATATTCCAGAGATAAATTTTCATGGGCACTATGCCCTTAACTGCAACCCCACTGAAAGCTGAAACATTTACATTTAAAAATAAATCAAAATCTTTCAATATCATGAGCAAGAACAAATGCTCCCCTCCCCATCAGTATTACAGGAAAAGAAGAGTGCGTATCCAGCATATACCTTTACTTTCATTACATATTAAATAATTAAGGAAAAGTTATGATGTGTTAAAACTTGACTGCTTCTGGTATGACATTTTAGAATATCTCTGATTACTACATATAACACAATATCATGTGATACATTTAAATCAAAAGGACAACACAAGGCAGATGTTGGCTATTATCTTATCAAAACACCCATTGCCTATTTGTTGCATAAGCTTTGTGTTGGCTTGCTGCACACGGGTGAAGTTCCCCTCAATTCATTAGACTTGTTCTGTACTCTAGAATAGGATTCCAGGTTAGCTCTCCAAATGCTGAACAGCACTGGGTTTCAAGAAAAGTACCAACAGGGGGTTGAGAACTTTATTTTTCACAACTTTCCTTTTCAATGCAGATGTTTTGGGAGAAGAAAATCCAAACTTGAAAAACTTAAATGCTAAACAGCTCCAAGTGGAAAAAAATTTATTCTGCCTCTAACCCAAACAAATAGGAAGCCTATAATTTGCACATGCATGTGATGAAATATTCTAGGGGCAAACTATCTTAATTCATTTTATTAACTGAGTAGTCCTCAAATGTCAGCCTCTAGCTCCACTACTGATGTTTTTCATAGGAACGAAGGGACTTTTATTCCAAAACAAGGTTCTTGTTATAGCAAAAATCCATTGTGAAGTCACCAAACAAGATGTGGTAGCATTTTATTAGAAGAAAGCATATGCCTGAGAGCCTGAAAAGGAGAGTTCATCATTAAATGAAAAGGTCTTTTCTTGAACTGCTGCTTCACTCTTAGAAAAAAAGCCTGATCCAAGGGAACTTTGTTTGCTCGAGCATAAAACTTTGCTCAAGCTTTGCAGAGACTTAGATGAAAGCAAACAGCATGAGAAGCAAAGTTTATGATTTTTCATTATGGTTGGATACACTATTAATAAAGATTTTTCCACAGTAAATCTGCAGCAACATCATATCTACCAATACCAGCACTCAAACATTAATGCTATCAACAATAAAACAGTGAGGCTACGTCTACACTGGCCCCTTTTCCGGAAGGGGCATGTAAATTTCACCAGTCGTCGTAGGGAAATCCGCGGGGGATTTAAATATCCCCCGCGGCATTTAAATAAAAATGTCCGCCGCTTTTTTCCGGCTTTTAAAAAAGCGTCTACACTGGCCCCGATCCTCCGGAAAAAGCGCCCTTTTCCGGAGGCTCTTATTCCTACTTTGAAGAAGAAATATTCCTTTGAAGTAGGAATAAGAGCCTCCGGAAAAGGGCGCTTTTTCCGGAGGATCGGGGCCAGTGTAGACGCTCTTTTCCGGCTTTTTTAAAAGCCGGAAAAAAGCGGCGGACATTTTTATTTAAATGCCGCGGGGGATATTTAAATCCCCCGCGGATTTCCCTACGACGACTGGTGAAATTTACATGCCCCTTCCGGAAAAGGGGCCAGTGTAGACGAGCCCTGATCGTAATCTTACAACTGCACAGAAAGAGCTTATGGGCTTTTATATGATAATGAGTTACACATATGCCATGTGACCGTCTCCCAAATTTTTTTTCTAAAGGAATCAGGATAAGAATTTTCATGTCCATGATCATAAACTCTTATGTTGTTCTTTTGTATACCAGAATAAGTGGGGCTTGGGAAATACGTCTAGGATAGAATATGAATATATTACTTCAATTAAGTATTAGGATGAGCCCTGATAGCAAGGGGCTTAAACAAGAAACATGAATTTTAATAACAACTCTAGGTCATTAAGATTTTTTTTCAAATCATAATACTACTCATTGTTTTAACTCCCAGATGGTGATTTGAGAACAGAACACTTGGGTTCTATTTTCACCTCCAGAGTAACCTAACTGGGAAAGCCCCTTGTGCAAAATTATCAAAGGTGAGATCATATAGCTTAGGTATACATTCATATTTAGAAATAAAATAAGTCGCTTCATTTTTCAAAGAGCTACAGCTTCCATTGATTCAAATAAAGTTATTCAGTCTAAAAAAATGAAAAATATTTTTTCCAAAATCTGACTATTTTGGTTTTTAACCTCAGTACAATTCAATTTAGACATATACAAAATAGTAGTATCTTTTACATCCATTACAGAGATTTTGCATGATTTAATTTATTATAGTTAAAAATTCTGAGGGATAGTATGCAAACTACAGGTAGATCTAAGCCAAAACCTTAAAAAAATACCAGAGAATCTTTGGGAGAATTTTTGTAACTGAATTCAACTTTCATGGCCAGATTGCCATCCTGCAATAGGCTAAATAAAAACCAAATTGTGGGAGAGGACTCTCGTGTTTTGGTCTTTCTATTGGCTTTCCATAGATAGTACAATCTACGTTACAATTATGAAATGCAAAAGTCATTTTAAATCTGGGTGTTCTGTGGAAAAATTCCAACAGTAACAGAGGAAATTATATTGCTGTAAATTTTATTCTGATATATCTAAAACCCAATTTTAACACCTCCAAACTAAGTTTAAGAAACATCAGCTTTGTATCCAACCTCTGCAGCTCCAGATTTTCTACTTACTCATTTATATTATCATAAGTGGGGAAAAATTCTTGGTATCTGATTTCCAAAGAGTAAGTGTAATTTTGGATTGTCTGAATTGATGAATATTTGAAATGCATAGAAATAAATATTTATGTAGCCTAATAGTGTGTTTGACTCGCTTCTTTCAGATCTGACATTGAAGAAGACCACCTCTTCACTATATTATGAAGGAGCACAATTTTGTCTCCTCTATCGTTATACATTACATTGTGGCCAGAAGGATGGTTTTTGTTTCTCACAATGCCCTCATACATGTAACATGTCCTCCAATACTCTAGTCATTAACACAGTAGGCACTGCTGCTGTATAATAATCATATCATACTAGGGAATGCCTGCAGCTAATGTATATTTCAACCTTCACAATCAAAGTTCTCAAAATGTAAAATTTAAATAGCTAGTGATAATATAGTGATGATAAACAACCATTACTATATCTTCAAGTCTAAACTTATACAATCATTTCCCCTGCCAAGCAAATAAGATCACATCTGTCATACAGTTCATTTTATTTAGAAACTGTTTGGTTCCCCAGCCTTTCAGGTCAAATAACAAAGGTCAAGTACATGGATAAAGTACTCTGAGGCCACCTAATCTGACACATTTAATCCCTGACCTATTCAGTTGCATCAATAAATACATAATTTTCTGGCTTTCTTTTTTAGACTTCAAAAACAATGTATATATCAATTTATACCTTTTACCATAAGTGACGAGTAGACCTGTAGTACCTTAGGTAGATAGATGTCTGTGTGTGTAAGATAGATAGATAGATAGATAGATAGAGATCAAGCAATCTATCTATCAATCGAATCTATCTTTCAAGGGCAAAATCCACTTCCTCAGATGAGCTGTGGGGTTTGCCATGAAAGCTCATGATCTTATATATGTACATATGATTCTGCTCATCTTCTGAAGAAGTGGGCTTTACTGATGATACTAGTTATATATTTGTTAGTTCCTAAGGTGCTATAGGACTACTCATTGTTTTTTAGTTACAGATTAACACGGCTACCCAGCTGAGACTTTTTTACCATAAGCATAAATCAATAGCTAAAGCCCCTTGAGTGGACTTCCAGACACGTCTTCTAGTTCCCTATATATCTCCACTGCATTTATGAAGTTAATTGTAATTTAATCAATCACATTACACATTTATTTGGTTTCTTCCTTTGGTTTCATGAGACTTGTTTTTATTTCTTTTAGTTTTGTTGAAACCAACATTTTGAGTACTTTGCAAGTGACCTAGTATGAATCAGAAAAATTGAACTTTTTAAAGAGTTTCAAGAATTATTATGAATAATGTCTACAAACAGTTATGCAATCACAGCAAAGAACATTTCCAAAAGCAATGTGATCAACAGCAAAATTACAAACTTCTCACTTCAAATTTAGAAAAAAGTAAATATGTATCTTTTCAAACTTTCAGAAAAGTGAGCATGGTTTACTTCCTGGAAAGGAGGAGCTACTTTCACTCCCATTGTTTGAAGGTAGCTATTGAAGGAAATTAGAGCTTCTCAGTTTAAGACTAGAGTTACATAAAGCTCCCCTCTGTCTGCTAGGTACCTGAGTGTGTTCCTACAGATCTGCCAATATAACATGCAGGCAGACAAGGGGCAACTCACAACAATAAGAGACAGGGTGATCTAGTGAGCTAAGCATGAGTTTGGAGGAAGGAATTTCTGCTTTCTGTTACTAAATATGTAAGGGTATGTCTACACTACCACCCTAGTTCAAACTAGGGTGGTTAATGTAGGCATTCGAAGTTGCAAATGAAGCCCGTGATTTAAATATCCCAGGCTTCATTTGCATCTTGCTGGGCGCCGCCATTTTAAAATCCACGTTAGTGTGGACTCCGTGCCCGTAGCTACACGCGGCATGGAGTAAGTAGTTCGAATTAGGCTTTCTAATTCGAACTACTGGTACACTTCATTCCATGAGGAGTAATGGTAGTTCAAATTAGAAAGCCTAATTCGAACTACCTACTCTGTGCCACGTGTAGCTGCGGGCATGGAGTCCGCACTAACGGGGATTTAAAAATGGCGGCGCCCGACAAGATGCAAATGAAGCCCGGGATATTTAAATCCCGGGCTTCATTTGTAATTTCGAATGCCTACATTAACCACCCTAATTCAAACTAGGGTGGTAGTGTAGACATACCCATACTGATTCCCTCTGTGAACGTGATCACTTCAGTTAATCTTTCTTCCTCAATTTTCCCATCTGAAAAGGGGAGATAATATTTACTCTCCATGACACTCTGCTTATTAATTAACCCTGCTCTACAAGTTTAATTATTGTTTGAGATGATGGGAGAAAGACACCATAGAATATAGGAGAAAAAGAGTGAAGGAGAGATCAGACCATTGGAAGAAAGTGGGACAGAGACATAAGAATGGGGGAAAGAGAGAACATGACAAAAAGACAATATCATGCAGGAGAGAGCTATGGGTCAGCAAGGGCACGGGTGAATGTAAAAATTCTGAATAAAAGGAGATTCTACTTTTTAGGAAAGGAGAATAAGAGAGAAAATGAGAGGAAGACAAGCAAAACTCCAAAATGAGAGAAAAGGAAAGATCTTATATGAGGTGAGTAGAATGACCTAGAAATGGAAGGCTAGGAAAGGAAGTAATAAAAACAAAAAACAAAATTAAAAAGTTAAGATACACACTCATTTTTTTAGACTATGTTTTAATTACAGCTCCCCTGATTTATTGTAGTGTATTGTATTGTCCTACATCTCAGCGGTGATGGGATAGTCCATTAGCCAGAAATACTAATCTGCATTCTGTAGTTCAATAATAGGAGACGTATGAAAAAGCTCTAGTGGCTTCTAAGTGCCCAAAGTTTGCAGAGAATTGCTCAATTTATTTTCAGACATTGACTATGCTATACCCAGACCCCAATACACACAGCTCTGCTTTAGTTCTTCTGGAATAAGCCAGGCTAGTGTCAGTGTTCAAGAGAGGAGGAATGCAAAGATCCACTCAAAGGCCCTACTTCTAATATACCGGAGTGAAAAATAATCCCACAGGTCTATCCTAAAAATTGTGAGGCTATCTCTGAGTGAGAGAAGAGTGTGACCATTATATTTTCAATGTCTCCATCTTCCATAGGTGCAAAATGTAAAAAAATATATATTTATCAAATGTATGGGGGTGTTGTGAGAATTAGTAAATATTGGGTGAAATATTTTGACAGTAACAAGTGTTCTATTACTACCAAATGTCTACTCAGGACATGAAACATATATTAGATGGGATTCCAGCTCACCTTTCTCTAATGTAAAAAGTCCCTAGGTGACAAACTGCTAATGACAAACATGATCAATTTTGCTAATTCCATCATGCCTCTCCACATTCCCTATAATAGCCGATTTGTAAGGAAAACGTAGTTGCGGGAACTGATAATTGGTCTGTCTTGTGTGATATTCTGCCTCTGGCAGGAGCCTAGACCTAGTGTTTCAAATGCATTCCTTCTCTTTAATCAATTAGAGTTGCTCTTAACCAAATGTGCAAAGCTTTATTAAAGGGCAGTGTTGGTCTGCAGACAGAGCCATCCCAAAGCAAGCAAATGGTCTGCACATGCTGTGAAGCATGATTTTCTCTCTCTCATTATCTGATTTTTATCTAACTTTCTAGCTTGCCGGATAGCTACATAAGCTGCACTTGTAAATGTAGAGAACCCCTTTTAAATCTCTTTAAGCTGTTTGGCTCAGTGATTTCCTGTGACTGTCAACTTCATAGGTTTTCTACAAGCTACAAAAAGCAGTATCATTTTATCAGTTTTAAATTTGCTTTCAGACAGTTTCATGGTGTGCCTCCTTGTTCTCATATTATGAGTCCGGATGGAGAGAAGCAGTAGTTCAGTGTTTAACTCACCATCTGTTATTAGTATACATTCATCATGTCTCTTCTCTGAGGACCAGACTCTGAAACACCTGCCTCTGGTTTAGTAGCACCTTACTTTACAAATAGTCCCACTGATTTTAGAAGAGCTTTGATGGAGTTAGGTATTGAGTCTAATTGCAAAAGTGTCAGACTCTTGCCTTAAACCAACAATCCAAGTATCTAAAGTTTCTCTTCAGCATGACTCCTAAACATCTTTTAACCTTGATTCCATTTTCTGAATATTTTTTAAGTACGAAAATGTCTTTTTGGGGTGAGGTGAGAGAAATGTCAATCTTTAGGGTATACCTACACCATTGAATGATATACAGCCTGCAATGTTAGTAAAGAGAAATGGAGATGTTGACAGTTCAAGTTATTCTCTTTACACAGGCAGTAAAAGAGAGGTTGTCAGATACAACAGAGAACCCTGTTAGCCTTTGACTGCCACTGAAAATTCAGCAGATATCTTAATTGAACTGTCTACAATTACCATTAGATCTTTTTTTCAGAAAAGGTGTCAGATAATTTGGAACACAGAAGTCTGCATGTAAAATTAAAATTAGTTCTCCTGATGTTTCATTATTTTGCATTTATCCACTTTAAGTTCCATCTGCCATTTAACTGCCCAGTTGCCAAACCCAGATGCAATTTTTTGGAGCTGCACAAAACTTTATATTTCCTTGACTATCTTAACAACATGTTAATAAATGTTGACAGGGAGCTCAATGCTTTACAAGAGATGGTTGAAGGGACGGACCTCACCCTGCAAATCTTAAACTTGACGAAGTATCCTACAGTTATTTCTGCTGATAAATACAGCCAGTATATTGTACACCTCCCTGAAAATTATTTCATGGTTTCTTTATTTGTTTGCATCTGCAACCCACATATTTAATAACCAGTCTATTGACTATATTGAGCCTTTTCACAGTTGAAGTAGTCACTCATTTTCACTGATCCATCAAATTTATTTAGCTCTGCAATTTTTCCCAAACATAAAGGAATGAATGAAACCTATCCTAAAGCATGTATACATTTGGTAAGGAAAAGAAGGTGACAGAGTTTTGCTGTAAGTTGGGGGCGTATATGGAAGTGACAGAGGAAAAGTATGGTCTGAACAAATTGGTCGATCAAAGGATGACTATGAGCTTCCAATATAATGTGGCTGTGAAAGTCAAATATACCCCTAAGATGTATTAGTCAAGGTATTTTTAGTAAAGAGAGGGAAGTATTGCACCATTATACAGGGCCCTAACAAGATCTCATCTGGGATATGGTGTGTAATTCTGGTCTCCCATGTTTAAAGAAAGATTAATTGAAATGGAACAGGTGCTGAGAAGGACTACACTGATGATTCGAGTAACAGAAATCTGATTGTATGAGAGGAGACTCAAAGAGCTTGTCCTGTTTAGCCTAAAGAAAGGAAGGCTGGGGGGAGATATGATTCCTCTCTACAAAAACATCAGAGGGGTAAATGCCAGGGAGGGAGAGGAGTTATTTAAGTGAAGCACCAATGTGGACAAAAGAAGGAATAGACATAAACAAGAAATTTGACAAAAGTTTCTAACCATCAGAAGACTGAAGTCCAGTCCTCCAAGGGGAACAGTGAGGGTATATCTACACTTGCACCCTAGTTTGAACTAAGGATGAAAATTTAGGCTTCGAAATAGTCAGTGAAGTGGGGTTTTAAATATCCTGTGCTTCATTAGCATGATCTTGCCGGCGCGTTACTCCCATCAACAGCTGTTTTGAAAGTGAAAGTGCGCACTGGGATGCATTAGTTCAAACCAAATCCTTTGGTTCGAACTAATGTTACTCCTCATTTTTTGTACTCATCCTATTTCAAATGCCTACATTTTCATCCCTAGTTCGAACTAGGGTGCAAGTGTAGACATACCCTGAGGGAAAAAACTCCTAAATGGCTTCAAGATTAAGCTTGCTAACTTTATGGAGGGGATGGTATGATGAAACTGCCTATAATGGCATTTAGCCGATCTGTGACTGCTAGCAGCCAACATCTCCAACAGCTGGTGATGGGTCCTAGATGCATTATTACACAGAATTATTTTCTAGGTCTCTGCATGGTGAGTCTTGCCTACCTGCGAAGGTTCTAACTGGCTGCCATGTTTGGCGCTGGGAAGGAATCTTCCTCCTCCCTCATCAGATTGGAGGAATTCTTAAGGGTTTGTGTTGGGCGGGGAGTTTCCTTCCTTGGAAGCATGGAGATTGGACTGACATTACTTAATGCAGCTGGCACTTGTGAGCTAAACCAGCTCTACTGAAGGGAGAAGAGCAACATACTATCCCAGTTTCCCATATTTCTGGTGTAAGTTGTTTACAACTGATTCAAGAGATTGATCAGACGTAGATCAATTTTAATAAATTATATATTTTTTCCTCTAGCATAGTACATCCATCTTGCTTCTTTCTTCCGTCCTTTCTTCTATCCTTTTACAAAAATTATTATTGCACAGCAGAAATATTAGTTCTCTTTGGTCATAATCCTTCTAGCTTTGGGAAGAAGGAAAATTAAAGAGACTCTCAGGTTCTTTGGGGTGCCTGTGACTCAAACTCCCATCTCAAATATCTTTTTGTTGTTATCGTTGAGAAAACATGTCCTTAATTTAACACAGGATTTGTAACTTCCTTGATTGAATGTATTATGGTGTGCTTTTCTTTAGAGGGCTGCTCTGCAACACAGAATAAAGCTACCGAGGCTGTTGGACATCATTTTAGACTCTCTGTCTGATTGGCAGATCACAGAAAAGAAATACATCCCATGAGCCTCTGTGCGAGGTCGTTACCAACTGATTGAGTATTCACTTTCATGCCTTAAATCTCTAAAACCCAGGTGTGTTGTAGATTAGCACAACTTACAAGCAGTGTGTGGAGATTTATTATGATAATTGTTGCTTTTATTTTTTATTTCCCTGAACTCAAAGATAATTAATGCCAGTATGTGTCCTAGTGTCTGACTCTCTTAATTGGCCCTATGGTGCCTTGGGTGTTTGAAAATCCACTCACTTAAAAGCTTTTTTTTTTCTTTTGACTTGTTTTCCTGGAGCTGTTCATTAGTGCCTAAAATATTTGATTACATTTAATTGTAATGTCTTCAATTCCATGCACCTGCTGCAATTTACATGTGGGAGGGGGGAGGAAGAGGCTTGCAGGAGCTAAGAGAGAGGGATGGGAATTAAATGTAAAAAAAAAATCCCCAGAAAAGGGTAATTGGGGTTAAATACGGAAACAAAATAAACATATTATGCAGTTTAGGTATTTCTACTACTATCATAACGGCTTCATCTTTCAATCTTTCTAAAACATTTCCATTTTATCTTCAGAGGCTTTCATCTCCAGTTGGACATCTGCAGTTAGTTTAAAGCTAATCTCTAGTATTAGAAAGTCCACATGTTGTTCTTCCTGACAGTCTGGCAGCAAAGAGTCCCAATCCTACTTGAAGATATTTTGCTCTGGTATAAATCTTTCTGGTTTTTGCCGCTTTCTTCCTGTTTCAGCAATTGATGTGCATTTCATCATCAGTTTTTTGCTAGGAATCCTGAAATAGCTACTACATTCTTGGTCAAAGCCTGAGGTTAGTTTTCAAAACTCAACTTACAGCAAACATACAAAGCAGCCTGACGTTACCAATAGGAATCAGTATATTGGCAGAAAGGTAATGGCCTGAATATTACAATTCAGACAGACCTGCACAGGGCAGGGATCAGAGAGGGAGTAAAATTAAAAATCTTTTGCATTTTCAACAGGAGAAATGAATCAGGCATGCTGTCTTTTCTGTTAAACTCTGCTGTTGCTTTTCATTTATCTCTAAGGAGCAGTGTAAACCTCTACAACTGCCTCTAAAACATGTTTTCAGAAGAAAAGTAATTAGAGTAGTTTTAACAGTCCTATAATGTCAGCATTGCCTAATAAATTCCACTTTCAGCACTACAGTGGAGAAGTAAAGGAGTGCAAAAGTATTATCCATTGAAGAATACACTAATTTACAGAATAAAACTTGTTAATGTGACCCATTAAAGGCCTGCTGTCAGGGAAATCTCAGTATTGTACACATCAACCTCCTCTATATGTTATGACAGAAGCAAAATGTTCCTTTTTATTTTTTTTCTGTGCTGACATTTTATTCCCCAATTTTGCTACTGATTCACTGCGAGACGTTTACATATTTCACAATTCTGTTTCCCCATCTTTAAAACAAAATTAATAAATGCTTACCACAACACTTCCAGAACATGGCATTTTTTGATGGGCTAGGAAGGTGGGCAATAAATGACAATGGTCTGCCAGGATTAGCCCCGGGTGGGCCGCTGCCACTATATTTACCATTGCCAGGTATCAGCGATCGTGGCTCCCATTAGCTGTGAATCACCATTCTCAGCCAATGGGAGCAGTGGAAAGCAGCGAAGCCACAACACCACTTCCTGCAGCTCCCATTGGACAGAAACTGAGATCCCTGGACTACGGGAGCTACAATCACTGGTACTTGCAGAGGCACAGGTAAATACAGCACTGGGAGCCTGCCAGGAGCTAAACCTGAGGGACCAGATCCAGTTCATTGGCCCGTATTTATTTACCCATTTCCTGGAATGGAAGGTGCACTCCTATTCATTATTATTGTACAATAAATATCAAATCATGGTACTTAGGACCAGATGTAGTTCCAAAGCCAAATATCCTCAAAATATCAAAGTCTACTGATTCAATGTTCTTGTTTAGTTGTCTTAAAGAAAGACCCAAAGCAGAAAGTTTGAATTTGGAGCTGAATTTTCCAAAATTTCACAAGGATTGAGATTATTTTCTGAGTATGGATCATCCCTACTTGACCCCCACCCTCATTTTTCTGGCTTTATTTGTGTTGGTGGTGTAGGGTTGTGCATGTGTTTTGTTTGTTTTTGTATTGTGGAATTTGAAAGGCCCCCATATCTGTTATGACATGGTGTCCCACTGTAGTATCGCTGGAGCATGAGCACATCAAGATGAACTTCAGTGAAGCAAAAGAGTTGGAGTGATGGACCCGCCATGAAGCTGCTACTACTTTAGATAGTCCATGCTTATTTTACCTTTTTGTTAATTGACTAGGTGACTAGGTAACCTAAACAGAATCCCAAAACATTTAGGATGGGGTTTTGAAAAAAAAAAAAAGACAGGAGAAAATTTGCTATGCAGTTCCCACCTATCATAACTTAAAGCAAGGTCAGAGTTTGGTTGTGTTTAGAAAATGGGATGTGCTTGGAATGTGATTGCTAAGCATCAAACAAAAAGGGAGCAGTATGAGAGCAGGGACTGTTATACTCATAATTGAACATGGGGGGACAGAAAGTGCCCCAGCCCCAGGGAGCAGATGGATGGACCAGGGAAGCAGATGCTGACCAACGCACAGCCCACCTCTCCCTTGGTCACTCCCAGTCCACTATGGCATGCTGCGTCTCTGCCACTCCAGGCAGGCCCTAGG